ATCTTCGGGGTCTAGCTCTTCATCTACAAGCTCTGAAGACTCTGATGTAAGTACGCGCCCCAGCACACCACCACCCACTATACCACGCAAATGTGGAAGGGACGCGTCTCAATCGTCTGACAAGGGCGGACGTAAGTCCAAAAAGGCCAGGTGAGTGATACTGTCAGTTGTTCGGATCAGAACTCACCTGCAGCATATAGATGTAGTAGTAGCCCTGCGATGATTGATAAGAAGAATGAAAAGCCAAAAAGGTGAGAGATTTTTTATTCATCTACATTTCAGATTGACGAGATTCTAGAAGATCGCGCAATAAAGTTCTTATGCCGCGGGAGCAGTGTATCCACGTTGCACGTTGGATCCCACGCGGCCTAGACATGTTCTGTGATCTCAAGCAGGTGATCCAGGTATGTCTACTTTTAGAGCAGGAAGAAGCAGCCGAGGACGGAGATGAAACGGAAGAAGAGCAAATTAGGGCTGCCCGGAAGAAGATTCTGGCTGACTGGTAAGTACATATGACCGCATATATGCACACTAATATTGTTTTTAGTGATGAAATCACTCGTGCGCGGTACAAGCGGACGTTTGAATATGTCACGGAACACGCCCCTTATCTTGGGACTCTGATTGGCCAGAGGAAAAAACGCGAGGAGCTCACGCAACTCATCGGCGAGGTGCGTAACTTTCCACGTGTACTGATTGCAACTCACTATCAACAGATGCAGCATATGATCAATCACACACACTCCGAGGACACGAGTCGCCTCAAGGCCTGCATGGGCTCATACGCAGCTCCGCACCCTGATAAAGAGCTCGTCTACCCTCCAATTGCTGACGACAGCAAGAATCGCGCCAAAATGGGATTCAACCACGCCCAGCTGGGCAAAATGCTTTGTCCTGCTAAGCATCTAGTCGACTACATCAAGGATCCCGCAAGGTATGTTTAATTTTCTCGAATTACTAGTACTAACAGTACTACAGGATGAAAGACAAATTCGATAGTGGGTCATTGAAGGTAACCTCTGCCGTGTGGCCCGCCTATCTGTATCCAGGCGACATTCCAGGCGAAGATTTCGACGCTGAGGATATCATTGAAGGACTTTTCCGTGGGTATCTCTTAGAGCGGGTACGTTTTTTTAAAATAATATTGTGTAGTTCTAACCTACTATGCAGGTCGCTAAACATATATTCACTTCTCCTTCATCTGCACTGAAGGTTGGCGTCTCCAATGGAACTTGCGCTTGCAATGCGAAACTCCACGGGATGACAGGAGTGGAGGCCGAACATATTGCATATGCCGCGGTCCAGGTAAGTTTTTTTAAAATGTGCACTTGATTTAATCAGTCTCTTTTGTACAGGCTCGCTTTGCAATCAGTTCACTCGACAAATGGAAGGATAAGGACGCCCTCTTTCATTACCCTGACTTCTACACTAGGATGGTAAAGTTAATTCGTGGGAGGAAAGACGGAGAGTGGGTCGATTCCCTCCTAGCACATTATAATGAGTAAGTAATTCACTGCATTATTCTATCATCTAACATGCTTGTGTGTCTAGGAAATTATTTGGCAATGAAAACAGCGCCAAAGCTACTCATTCCGCGAACACCAAGTGTTCAGACGAGGACGACATGGTTGCCATGGAACGACAACTCGCCGTGCATGCTGCGCGAGCTTCCGGAACCTCCAACGCAACATCTGCACAGTCTTCGGCAGTCGACAAGCAACAGGAGTCGCGTCCCGAGTCCTCACCTCCTGCACCTCAATGATCTCCCATTCCAGAGCCTCCGGTAGCCAAACCACCAGTTATTCCTCGCAAGGACAACTTGAAGCAGCCCTCACCACTGCCTCCCTCGTCTCCTCAAGAGTCAGCCGTACCTACACGCTCACCTACTCCTGATCCACCTGTCGACTCATGGAAGGACGTACCTACACACTTGCCTACTCCCGATGCACCTGTCGACTCACGGAAGGAGAAGGCCATACCTACACGCTTGCCTACTCCCAATCCACCTGTCAACTCAGGGAAGCGCAAACAGGCCTCCACACTCGTTGCAGCCATTGATGACGACAGCCCTCTGACAGAAGAAGAACCGGATACTATTCAGCCAGCCAAGCACACACAACAACCCACTGCTAAGAAACCCAAGAAGGCTCCGACTAAGTGCAAGTCGAGGAAATAGGTGAGTCGCATCAGTCTCGTAGACTGCTCGATACTCATAACATTCGCTTGCTTGTATTTAGAATCACACTACTGCATTATGACCATTTTTACCAGCTCCATTCGCATTCGCATTACACTCACGGACTCAATACTACTCTACTGCTCTCATGCTCTCATGGACATGTCTCATTTTCACTTGCGGTCTTCAATGACATCACTCATATGCTCTTTTTTACAATTTCTAACTTAGTGCTCATGTCCGGACGATCGGTACGCGGTTACCACTAATAGATTACATTACATTCCACTGTACCGTATGTATTCGAATATCTCAATGATAGGTGGTTATGATGGGATATCAGCGTGATTCAATGTTATAACTCAATATAAGATAATATAATCTCAGAGCCTTCTGGATTATGCCAGCAAGCATATGACGCGGTCTGGAACATGCCTCTGACCATATGACAAAAATCGATATGTCATATCGGTATGTATTCTATGCTCAGTTATAGATACTCGTCACAGTCGTCACAGCATGTTACAGTGGTTACAGGTGTATATATAGTTATATATACGTTGGACAGTTTTGGTGATGTGATATTCTGGTTGCTGATTGCTGAGTTTCAATGGAGGCGCTGTTATTACATAATGATAACAAGTCTTTTAAGTTATTACCTACATTGTAGGTCAGTCATTAGGGATTCTCACACCTGGGAGCTTACGGTTTATGCTTATTTGTGCTTATGCTTACACTCCATGCGTTCTTCGATCTTTTCTGGTCAAAGAAGAAATATCCGATTGATTGTGACACTGACTCAATCTGAACTATGTTTCAACGAAAGTACTAGTTGCATGTAAGTATTTGGGCAAAGCCCCTTTCGGCCAGAAACGCCACTCCGAACCTAAGAGGTTGAGATGAGCTGTGATTCCCATGTAGAACTTAGAGGCGAGTGGAGGATTTGGAGGAAGCTAACAAATATGATCAATCTCAGTATCTGGAACAGAACTTTGTGTATTGGTTATGTACCTAACAAATAGGATCACTACGAGAACATTAGCTATACATGATGTGCGACTAAGTGCTGGTACTCACATCTCAGTATCTGGAACAGAACTGAGATGTGTCTACAGCTTTGCTCGTAGCTATAAGGTAAATGTGAATATGAACATATATTAATCAAAGACAGAAAAATAAAGGGAGGGCACAAGCTGCTGTCAATGTGTGCTTGTCTGTTTCCGTTCTTAGCATGCACTCGTACCTCACATCTTGGACTCGTCGGCCTTCATCTGCTTGTAACACGACACTCCCCCTCGAGTGCAAGCTAGGCTTATCTAACCTTGAAGGTTCTGTAAACGGGGGCAAGGTAATGGCTTCATAAAAGCATCTGCAATGTTGTGTTCCATCGGGCAATAGAACAATGCAAATGTGCTGTGCTTGATGTGTGCACAAATGAAGTGGTACCTGATGGCAATATGCTTTGTCTGGGACTGAAACTTCCCATTAGCGGCCAAGGCTATTGCAGCCTGGTTGTTGCAGAAGATGGACGTGGGGCGCGAGGGAGCCTCATAGAGCTCTTTGGTAAGATACTGGAGGTAGAGTACCTCGTGTGCGACACTCTTCAGAGCAATATACTCAGCTTCTGTGGTGGATAAGGCTATCAGCGGCTGTTTCTGGGCACTCCACGCAATGGGGCCTCCATTGAGTGATATGATGTAGCCTGACATCGAGTGACGATGCAGTTGAGACACCCAGTCTGCATCGACAAACGCCTCGAGGCCACTATCTGTGGCGCTGTAGAGACTTGTGCCTCTCATTGGGTGATATGGCAGTTTTCACTAGGGAGTACATGGCACGAACTTGTAGCATCACTCTGCATGCTATCCGCAGCTATTCCTATATGAGGTGCAGCTTTCCTGCGCAACGCGCAACATGCGCGCACACTCCCGCGCTTCACGATGTATATGTGCGCGCGCTTTCCCGTGCTTGAGTGCCCTATAGCGCCAGCCATCCAGAAGCATCCATCCACTGTCCACCAAGCTCTCTAGTGCGTATATTTCCATTTCTCTTATTTGCATATCGTTCCACCTTTATTTTTATCATGGACCCTTACTTACATATATCTTTACATACCTTACTTGGTAGCGCTTCGGCTCCGCATGACAGCGCTTAGGCGCCATACATAAGCGCCAGTAGTACATACCAGAGAGTAGTTTAGCAACCCCCATGTTCATACCTCACAACTCAGCTTAGTTGGAATCTCTCCCTAGAAAGTAGCACTTACATCTCATATCTCTATATACGCGCGCGCACTTTCCCGCGCCTCGCGCGCGCCTGCGGTTTCCCGCGCTTCGCATCAGCCAACCAGTAGTGCCTTCAGCGCCTACTACTAGATCTTTGCTGCACTCGCTTCCCCTTTAGGGTCGAACGCACTTGTCGTGTCAAGTATAGCAGACTAGGCAACGTGCGACCTTACAACATTTATAGATACAGTCAGGAGCCTCGTTTGTTCCTCTCAGTATTGTTGAACCTTCACCGAGTCCCGAATTTCGGGGTTTGGGGTTCAGCGACCCGAAGCTCGGCAACTGTGTTGGGTGTCAGGGTATCTGGAACATTGGAGATCGCATGTGTCAGTGTTTCGTGTTTCATGGTTCGTGTTCCTTGATTCTGGAATTGGGCATCAGGGACTCGGTATTCAGAACAGTGTCGAGTCCCAAGTGATGAGTCCCGAACCCTGAGCTCTGAGTCCTGAACATTGGGATTCGGGGTTTGGGACTCATGACTCGGGGTTCGGGGTTTGGGACTCGTCACTTGGGACTCGACACTGTTCTGAATACCGAGTCCCTGACACCCGACACGGTTGCCGAGCTCCGGGTCGCTGAACCCCGAACCCCAAAATTTGGGACTCGGGACTCGGGACCCGGGCTTCCAAGACTGGGACTCGGGACTCGGGACCCGGGCTTCCAAGACTGGGACACGAGATTTTTGAATGCCTATAATATTTTACATCTTGTATACAATGAAGACTGAATGGGACTACACTCCTTTGCCTCTCCTCAATTTCTCTAGCATGTCAGTGTACATCTTCACTTCTGCCATCTTGGCTTGGACGCCCTCATCTTGCTCCTCCATCAATGCTTCCATGCGTTCTTTAATCCACCTCAGTCCCATCAGTGGTGGACTCGAAGTGTTTTTCAACTTCTCTGGAAGAACCAAAGCATCATCCTCAACACCAAGCTAGAACAGATAAGTCATCAATCAAGGCAATTCAGCTAACATCTTACCGCCCAATACTGGTAGTGAGAGATGCAGGAAGCCATTATCTCATCCCAATGCCATAGTTGATCTGGGATTGTGGTGTTTCCCATCCACCATGGACATTTATATTCAAACACAATCCGGGATGGATGTCCTGCAATTGCCTCATCATCAAATGCGAGGAGGTGGAATGAAAAGGAAAAGACGTCGTCCGGAACCGTGTTCCAGGTTAGCATGGGATACAACTTAAGGATATAAGCGACTGGAACCGAAAGAACCGACACGATATTCTGTGAAGCAGAGTACTGCAGGAGTGGTGTGACAAAAGTCTGCTCAAATTCTTAGCATTGACCAACACAGTCATCAGGGCAGCGGTAACATACATTCATCTCCCATTGCAGCCCGGCTTTAAAATACTTGATCCGGTCAGAAGATAGAACATTGTTGGCAGCTTACGTCCAATATTGAGAGATGCATGCGCGGACGCGCAATCCAGCCATTGCCAATGTGCAGGAAATAGTTGGAAGGCTCAGCTTCAGGGGTCAGTAATGGCTTCCGGCATTCAGAGTGCCAGAAGTGGATGCAGGAGTTGCAGGCATGGCTAATACAGGACTATGGTGCTGGCAATGCAAGTGAAAGATGGTGAAGATGTGAAGATAAGAATCACTGATGGATGGATACGAAATTCAAACTCCGACATGGGCTGACCCAGACAATTCCCGGGACTCAATTATGTATGTGGAAAAAGGGACTTCATGAGAAAACAATGTTCATTCATCTCCAGCCTCTATCAACATGTTCTGTAGGTCTTGAAAAGCTGCCTGTGCATCCTGTGCGAGCAATGAATACATTTGGGATTGCCTTCCGGCGTAGCATCCGTGACCCAGAAGGCATTTCTCCAATGATTCCTGCATGTGGTCGCCCCATTGGGTTGCTTTCCACAAAAAGAAGTTACATGTCCAATCCATCTGCAATTTGACCAATATCATTTCTTCCCTCCATCGATCCCGTAGTGCCTTTGCCCGAAGCCAATGGACTTGGTAAACTTGGGATGGGTCCCGTCAGGTAACCGCGGGATATGACATGCAAGCAGGAACTCACATTCCTCATTCCACGATTAATTGGGACCCCTGAGGTCGACTTCAACAGACCAAAACCAAGCCAAAGATTCATTTCATTGACCTCGGGCATTTGGGTCGCCCACTGCAGTGCTGATTTTCAGTTGCTCGCAAAGCAGGGGTTTGTATTTCTGAAGCTGGTCTTGCCCCGGCTCAAGTTTCATCATTTGCTTCCTGGTCTTTGTATATATGCTGGCATGGAGGGAGACCGCCTGCTACACCGACGTCACCTGGGACCAAGCTCGAGTTTTCAGGGCCTGGGATTTGGCCTGCCTAACAGTTGTTCGGAACAGGATGGCCTTGTTGCACAGGTAAATTTGGAGATTGTGAAGGGCATCATTGGCCTGCCCTTCATGAAGCGACATCTCCAGGGGAATCAGATCCTCTGCCATGCATCATCTGCATCAATCAACCCCCAGGTTTAATGGCAACGGGATTACAGTGAGCTCGGGAGAGTTTGTCCATGTATGAGATATCTCTGTGAAATCTGCCAGGTCATCATCGAGATCATCGAGAATGTCTACATTCAAGTTGTCAGGTTCATCATCTGCATCAAATCCCTCCCCGAGATGTGTTAGAGCAGACCGAGTGAATCCATCTATCTGGCCTTGGAGCCGATCGTGTTGATGGGCGATGTCTAATCTCTGTGTCTCCGTGGATCTTCTTCCAATCCTTTGGACCTCAATGAGCAATGCAATCTGAGCCTCTTCAATCGCCAACCCCATTGATATCCACGTCGCCACAGATCTGCGAGAGGGTGCTGCATTGTGGGCGTTACCCTCCTCTAATAATCTAAGCTCAATCTCCTTTTTGCTCGGTGCTGAGTGCAATATTAATTCGGACCTCGATGGAGACAATGGAACTCAATGTACCCTTTTTTATATTGATCTCATATTCATCCATCACCGCAGGATCATTCAATCTGCTTGACTGAGCTATCCTCTCCCTGGCTAACCATTCGGTCTTCAAATGTGCAGGTGCTGCTTCATCGAGTCTGTCAAATGCCTTTCCACTTTCTGAGATGCCATTCCTCGCCAGCTTGTATTTCCGGCATAGAGTCCTTTTCATGCGAATCATCTTGCAGAAATTGGAGTCATTCATCTGATAATCAAGGCATTCCTTTCAGTGCGGAGATGACATTCCCCAAGCAGCAGAGGAAATCAGATTGAGCCGTGCCCATAGTGTCTCCATGATCTCTCCATCGATCCGACCAATGCCTTCAATAAAGTTAGATGCATATTGGACATAGCAGCTGTCCTGATGGCCATGAACATGCCACAACCCAATTCCGGGAATGATGGTTAGTTGCTGTGCCATTTCTAGAAATCGACTTCGATCCACCCGAACCCGAAAGTGTTTGTTGTATTGACAGTTGATATCGTAGAAGGTGACGGCCCTGGTGATGCCTTCCATGTTGTGCTGGGAAGCCTCGCAAAGGGTGTAGTCCATGTTTATTTGTCTGCAAGTGATGCATGGTTAACTCATGAATGTGGAATGGTGCATGTGGCTTGCCTTTTGCCTTTCTGAAAATCCACCATGGAGTGAGGGACAAAGCAACCATGTTGGGCACAGGCAACTCCCCCGATACCGGTGGACTCCAGCTTGTGCCTAGCAGCATTAGCTTGATTTACTGCCCGGTGGTTGTTGCAGCTTGATTTTTCCACCATGTCAGCAGCCTCTGCCAGATGCATTTTATACCTGTCCTTTCCTACCATGAATCTAAGCCCATCGGACAGCCAAACTTCATCAAATGGCTTGATGGGATGCAGATGTTCGGCTTTGAAATTTCCGTCCATCACAAATGACCGGGTGTATTTCCAGCTTGGAGCGCTCATATTATTGTGGAGGCCACATTGGTTGCGAACAGGACTCACTCATCAAGTGATCCATCCTCTGACAACAGCACATTAATACCAGGCTGAGGACATGCAGGGCAAAATAATGCGAGTTCTCCTGTGCTCGGGTTATCGGAACGATGGCCAAAGCCATGCCATTTCATTGTCTTCAACTGCCTCCACTGTCGAGCGACCCTCATGAGCTCTCTGTATCGGTCCTTGCCATGTGCTTTGTCAATATGATGTCCAGTAGATGAAGAGGGTAAGGCATTACCAGTGTAGAGACTCATGCTTCTCATGGTGTGATATGGCACTTTTCACTAGGGAGTTCATTGCACGAACTTGCAGCACCATTCTGTGTGCTATCTGCAGCTATCCCTATATGAGGCGCAGCTTTCCCACGCAACGCGCGCCATGCGCGCACCATTCCCGCGCTTTACGATGTATACGCGCGCGCGCTTTCCCGCGCTTGAGCGCCCTATAGCGCCAGCCATCCAGAAGCATCCATCCACTGTCCACCAAGTTCTCTAGTGCGTATGTTTCCATTTCTCTTATCTGTGTATCGTTCCACCTTTATTTTTATCATGGACCCTTACTTACATACATATATCTTTGCATACCTTACTCGGTAGCGATTCGGCTCCGCATGACAGCGCTTAGGCGCTGTATATAAGCGCCAGCATTACATACTATTAGGAACTTTCCAACAATTACTCTACCTCCCACTTACCCATCTACTACCTAGCAGAATATAGTTGCAATCTATTCCTTGGCACTTTGCACTCACATCTCTTGTTATTCATCATATCACCACTTAAGCAAACTCACTCTTACTCTCACTTGTTTCCACTCACGCGCGCGCGCGCTTCCCGCGCCTCGCGCGTACCTTCGCTTTCCCGCGCTTCGCATTGGCCGACCAGTAGCGCCTTCAGCGCCTACTACCAGATCCTTGCTGCACTCGCTTCCCCTTTAGGGTCGAATGCACTTGTCGTCTCAAGTATAGCAGACTAGGCAATGCACAACCTTACAACATTTACAGATACAGTCAGGAGCATAGTTTGTTCCTCTCTGTATTGTTGTTTCTACACCGGAACAAGGTGTGGAAACATGCTCGAGGTCATTTGCTGGAGCTTGCTGTAATAGTTGATCGCAGAGGTGCCGCATTCAAGGCTGTCCAGTAGAAAATCATCGAGCACTCTGAAGGTGAACACAGTCTTCGGCCTGTTGAAAGATGCAGGGAAAAATCTGTGTCAAAACATTTGAATGTCTGGACTCATGGCATTCGGACAATCACAGCATCGAACCTCCAGGCGATAAACTCTGGACTTGTCAACGATGACCATGGTGTTTTCCTTTGGCTGGAACTTGGGTCCAGACACAAATGGCAGATCTTCAGGCTCGAGCAGGTCTTCAGGTTCATCTTCTTTGAACAAATTCCACCGATCTGTGACCGCCGGACATTGTTTGCCATCATGGCCAAGGTGTATGATGAGTCCCACATGAGCAAGACAACTGCACTTGAAGAATCGCCCATTCCATTGACTGATCCAGTGGAAAGGATTGCTACGATGTTGACTCCTGCAACAGCCTGTGCAATAGAGTGGCTCGCCAAGACAATCTTGACATTTGTACACCCCATCCTGTTCGCAGATGATGCATCTCCTGTCTTCTGGTGGAGCTTCTCGATCAAGGAGGTGATGTAGATATGATTCCTGCCTTGGCAGCCATTGTTACAATAACATGTAACCGAGAAACCCTCGTATGAAGGTCATCCTGACCTTAGCCCCTATCCCGCCATATGCACCGTCTTGGAAGACTTACCGACTCGACGGAGATATGTAGAAACGCTTAGAACGGCCTGGATGCCGTTAGATGACCTAGACCAGCCTAGGCAACATCTGGATGGACCTAGAGGTCCTCGACCCGGATCATGGAGAAGCTCTGCTTCATGGTCAGAAGAGAAGCCGCATGCCGCAGCATGCGCAGTTAGACTTGAAGGCATGCTTCGCCTCAAGGACTGATAGAAGAGGCATGTTACGCCTCATGTATAGATAATCGCCCGCATGGCATCTGATAAACATGCCCGTGTATGGATACACTCATACTTACCTACCGAACGTAGTATTGGTCTGTGCACACGAACGACAGTATATAGAGCAGACAGGATCATGTATTTCTGTACTTGATTCTACTAGGTTTTCCCCAGAACTTCCTCTGAAAGACAGTCCCAGTCCTTCAGTCTTAGTCGCACCTAAAGGCAAGCCGACACTACCTTTAGTCATATAGTTCCGCTAGCCCTACAGCTTGACGAGCCGCCGCGCTTACCAAGCTTGTCGGAGGATACCTTAGCATTCCACTAAGCTGTGAACCCATCTCTCCAGTAGCGAGCCCGCTATCAGATTAGGCAATCCGCCTAGGGAGAGCTCAACCTATCCTAGTCGTAACAGCCATTGCCTGAGGTAGTCATTTTGACTCTGTATTTTTGAATGCTTAGCCATAGTTTGAATGACACTCCAACATTGTACATGAACTTGCCATGGTTTTTGGGAGTTGCAAAGGCTCAAATGAGCCTTGGTCCTGCTCGTAAGTATTGTCAGGAAAGTCTTCCCAAGGAGGTGGTGCCTCAACAGGCTGAATTGTTGGTGATTCTGGGGGAGAGTTAGGCATGGACCTGTAGACATGTCGCCTCATGCTTGCAAGTGGGACCTTGACCCAAGTCTTCCTACCTTTGCTGCCCCTTGCTTCCACCCTGTGAGATTTTTGCACTGTGGTGCATCTACCTATCTTCATCTTGTTTACTAATGTTGCAAGCAAGGCATAAGCTCAGGTGTAATGAATTGTTATTGCAATATGATGCTGTGCAGTCCTGTTGGCTCATTACAAATTCATTTCCATTAATGGCTTCTTGTCTAATATGGGCCGATTAACCGATCATTAGGCTTTGCTCAAAGTTCAACTTCGCACAATTCATTAATACTTCCACCTTGCAAATCCTCAGCCTGTTCTGCATTCTGATTCACTATGGCAAGAACAGGTCATTCCACCAACACGACTTCCGGAAGACACAGGGCGCATCAACCACAGTTGCAGAAGCTCATGGACAAGGAGATTTTGGAGTTGAAGAACTACCTTCCTGAGTGGACTGCTGCCAAAAGGAGTGAGAAGCGAGGGATTTTTACTGCCATAGCAAGGGCGGCCAGGTTGTTTGCTCCTAAGGTGGACCAAAAACAATGGAAAAAGAGGAAGCAGGTGATACTTCTTTGTTGTGTTGAATCACTAAATTTTTAACATCACATTCTTTCATCAACTCTTAGGTGTACAAGACTTGGTTGTTCAACAACAAGAAAAAGAAGGAAAGGAAGGACACCATCAAGTATGGGAGGAAATGGATGCCCAGGATGGTGGTCTACCAGCAGAAACGCGAAGAGGTGCTGAAGAGGATTGAGGACGAGTCTGGGGTGAAGCCAGGAGATCCTGGTATGTTCAAACATTATCAGGTGGCGGTGAAGAGAGTCATGGCTGAATTGGACGACGACGAGTTGGAGAAGGCGAAAGAAACAGTGGAAGAGTGGTCCAACAACTGTCCGCCTCCGGAGATACAAGCACAAGTTGCTCGTAAGAAGGGTCCGGCATATATGGAGCACTTTTCGAACGGGATGTGGAGGCAATGTGGGATGAGAGTTTTTGTGATGTCAGCTTGGAAGAATGAAAAGGGAGAGGTGCTGTTCGGGATGTGAGTACATTTACCCATTGACGTGGATCTTTCATCTCAAAATATTCATGCAGGCATGATGATAACAAGGCCTTAGGAGATGGGGACAGCTTCATGAAGACGAAGGACTGGGAGGATATTGAGCCAGTGTGGCAGGAGTATGCGCAGGAACAGTTCGGTGAGTGTTTGAACCATGTATACCAGATTGAACATGTTGAGCATCACAATAATAGGCGCTGGGGCATGGGATGGAGGACGTCAGGTCAAGGGAGGTCGAAAAAGAATTCGAAAACCAGCTTTCAAACTCGAAATGGATGGGGAAGGTATGCCATTCCTTCCTGACATCACCGACACAAAACTTGAGGAGAAGAAGGCCATAGTGAGGGCCTTTCTTACATCGCACTATTGTGAGTTTCTCGTCGCATCATTCGACAAATTGTTCAATGCATGGACACAGGGATATGTTCCGGGAAGGACAAGGTGGTTGTGCCATGGAGTGCCATCATACAAAGTCAGGATGACTTTGTGGCCCAGATGTATCTTCCAGCAGATGTTGACTTGAAGGAGCCTTCCAAGCTGCAAAATTGGGACACGACTGCCTTGCTCCATTTCTGGCATGCTCGGCAGGAAACAGGTGAAGGTCCCACATTTCTGTTTAAAGCATGGAAGAACAAAGATGGGGACATGGTACCATCTGTCATATCCGGCAAGTCGCCCTCTCCTCAGACTCGTATAGTGAGAAAGCAGCAGAGGGTTACAATGCGAAGGGCTCGGGATTCGTCGACAGAAGCCAAGAGTAATAAGGAGAGTGCCACTCATCATACAGAGGATGATGTGGATGATGACATGGCTGACGGGAGACATCCTCTGAAGAAACCCAGGACGGGAGGTCCTACACCCAAAAAGACAGCAGTCCCACATGCAATTCCAAAGCCTCGCCCGGCCAAACCGGCCAAAAAAGGTGCATTACTGACATCACAAATGGGCGACCTCCTTGCTGGGTTAACTGGAGACACGACCAGCGAGGTTAGAGATGATGTTGAAATGGAAGAGAGTATCACGCCGCCAGCACCAAAAAGGAGGTGGGGCAAGACAGTCACGGTTGAACCATCCACGAGGACGACCCGGAGTAAGTTGCAAATGCCAGTAGACAGTACACCTAGAGTAACCAGAGCACGGGGACGCACTTAATGTAGATATATCTTCCTGCCCCCATGTGTACTGTCATATGTGCTATTGTGTATATGTCAAAGTACCAACAACCAAATCCCAAATCTCGACTACCAAGGCCCAAGTACCGAACCCCAAGTACCGAACCCTGAGTACCAAGTACCGAGCACCAAACACCAGGCACCGAGTACTGAGTAGGTAAAGTATACTGCAATGTGTCTACTATCAGACATTCATTGATATTTACATGTTACTTGAGTCATCAAAGAAGTCAATGAGGGTATCTAATACCTTCAGCATTTCGGAGGTTGACTCCCTTACCCTTTGCATCCTCCGGAGGTCCGCATCTGCTTTCCGGAGTTTGTCACATGTTTCAGCCCATGCCATCCTGAATGGTCTGTCAGCCTCAAGAAGTTGTGCTACTGTAGGGTCAGGAAGATTTCCATGATGCTGTTGGTAATCACCCAGGCGATCTACAATTGTTTGAACTTGCAGAACATTAGCAGAGATAAATGATCAACTGTTGTATACTTACTTTCGGTTTGATCATAAGATCTGATTGGCATGAACTCCTGAACCATGGCACGCAGTGCTTCATTGTTGAGTGCCGGCTCGGGCGATTGACATTTGGGAGTTGCTGAATTCGCTTGGGAGATAACATGAATAGAACATATGACATGATATGAATGCATGTACAAGGTATGGGTGCCTCTGGTACAGCTGGACTGGCCGGATGAGGTTCGGGAGTTGATACATTCACTTGGGAAATGCCATGAAAAATGAACATGAGATGGAAAGAATAAACTCACCAGTCATTGGTAAATCAGGTACAGCCGGAGCATCATCAGACTCAATCAAGGTATCCTCCAGACCAAGATACAAGTCCGGGTCATCGTACAAGGTGAGTCCATCAGCCAGGCCCAGATATGATGGATCTGGAAATATGTGATGAATTTGCACATGTAGAATATGTACATTCGAATTGAGAAACATACCGGGAATTGCATTCAATGCATCCGAACCACCGGATGACCCAGAATCAGAGTCTAACTCATCATCCGGCCCAAGGTATATATCATCTAATGCATCTAAAACATGTCCGATCAATTGAATGAAATAACAAAAACAAAACATACTAAGGGACATCCGGGACTTGGAGGACTCATCCACATCCATTGAGGTGCATTCAGTGACTGGAGGGTCATGAAATCTGACCCCAGGTTGAGAGCTCATGATATCTGATGAGCTGATGAACTGATTGATAACTGATAACTTCGAAGTTCAACACATGGCCGGCGATTGCCGAAAGTTGAACCACGACCAAACAAAGACAAATAATCAATGATTTTTAACATTGTCCTTCAATTGTATTGTTTCTTTGAAACTTCATCCTAGTGATAAAAGATTTCACCCTGCTTTTGACATTCTCACATCTCTCAACTCAATCCAAATGTCTACTCCAGTTCAATCCTCATTGGCCGGCCTCAAGGCATCCACTACTCAGCTTGTGGGCATCATTGCCGGCGCTCGGCACATCCCAGCCGGCACAGTGGATATCCACCTTGCTCTGACAAAACAGGTCACCACTCTGTTGGTAAGTAGCACTCATTAAATTATTTTACCATTAATGTTTCTAATATCCGGGTAGGGTGACATCATCCGGGCGCATGAGAAAGGGGATTACATCCCTGGCATTGTGGCTTCCTGTTCTAAGGAGCTGATGAGGGTGTGTTCCATGACTCCCTGGGTGTTACCCGACTGGCACAGCATTGGCCATGATGACCCCCGGGTGTTGAGACACGCCTGGGAGGCATTGGGTGACAATTCCTGTGATCTCCCTGTTGTTCCTAATTCTTCCACTGGCCCACTGACTGTCAACCTTCCGTCTCCACCTGTCCCTTCCCCTGCACCTGTCCTTCCCTCCCCTCCCATCGTCGCCGGCAACGTCGCTGGTTCATTTGGCAAGACGACCTCCAAGTTCCGGGACAAAGGGAAAGGTAAGGCGGTTGCTGTTGACCTTGAGCCAGAAGTCAGAGGGAGCAGCAAGAGGAAGTCTCCCATGATTTCTGGACACTCCTCCCAACCTCCGAAGTCGGCAATGAAGGGTCGCAAGCATGTCAAGTCAACTCAACTCGCCAAGTCGAAGCCGTTTGTGGAGTCGGAAGATGATGAAGAAACAATTGTTCAGGTATGTGGTCTGGCTCATTTGTGTCATGCTCTCAATTTGTTGCAGCCGATTTTGTGTGGAGTGCCAGAGGTCATCCTTCCCCAGCTCTCCACCATTGTTGTAAGGACGCCCCAGTTGCCTCGGTCACCTGGTTCCCCCAAGAAGCAATCATTTGGGCCTGCTTTGGTAAGTCTGATTTATTTGTCCGGAACTCAAATATATGCTCATGCATCCACAGCTGACTGCCGGCAGTCGTCCGGAGGTCATGGTGAGTCTTTTGGATTTGTCCGGAACTCACATGTATCATTTTCACTGATGCCCATTGCATTAGAAATCTCCCATCAGTCGACCGGAGGCTCCGGTAAGTCTTAGCAGTTCGCCTGGAACTCACATTTATACTAACACATTATCAGGCAACCTCCGGCAGTGGTCCGGAAGTCGTCGAGCCCTCTGATGGTACTTCCAGCGCTTTGGATGGTGAACCTCTGGCCAATCCCACATTTGATATCACCATTCCTGGCCCAGTGAGTACTCCATTTAATTCCCCTTAGTCCATCCACTAACGGATCCCACAGAACAACCCCTGCCATTATTGCGTAAAGGAGGATTGGCCCTGCGCAACTCATTTGGACAAGAGGTCCGGCCACCCCTGCTTGTCTTGCATCTGCTGCTCCACCAAGAAGATCAAATGCAACCCTGCATCTCTGGGATCCCCGCCCAAATGCACCCGAGGGAAGTCTACCACCGGTCGGACGTGTTCCAAGACACCTGCCCCTGCTCCATCCAATGCTCTGTCTCCCTCGCAGTCAAGGGCCCGAACTCATAGTCAATCTCGTGGCCCATCCCGCACTCCGGCCATCCCTGCTGCGACTACACCCCAGGTGCAGTCACGTGGTCGCAGCAAGACCATCACTGCCAAGAAGACACCTGCAACTGCAACTGCACCTGCAACTGCACCTGCACCTGCACCTGCACCTGCACCTGCACCTGCGCCAGCTCGTAAGTCACCCAAACTTTTAATGACCAGCTGACCTTATTTTTTACTTAGCTGTTCCGTCTTCGAGCTTTGCAGTGCCTCGTGCAGCACTCGATGTTCCCATGCCAGATCTCCATTCCATGGCAATCGCGATTCGGGATGGTGCAGCTCGCATCGCCATGCTTGAGGCTCATGTGCAGGAGCAGGATGATAAGATTGATACCCTGCAATGCCTCCATGAGAGCCTCCAGCGCAAGGTGGTCGACTGGCACCCTTCATTTCCACTTCCGGACACACCTGCCGATGCAACAACCTTGCTTGATCAATCCGGTCCCCCCCCATCCATGTCACCCCTCACCTCCAAACTTTTTAATCTCATTGATTTGGACATGTCAGTCATGGAACCCACACCCTTGATGGTTGAGGATGGATCTGCTATGGTAGGTCTCATGGTTGAGCCCACCCAAGTTCAGCCTGAGGGTCCACAATCCTCCAGCGAAATTGTGGTCCTGGATGAACCAGGCAACCTCTTGTCAGAATATAATTCTTCTGATGAAGAGATGGATGTTGAGGTGAAGGTTGAGCATCCTTGTGAGGAGGTTGAAATGGCTACATAATTGCTCAGTGATAGATGTACATAAATCTTTTTCAATGCATGTTACTTATGCCACAATTGAATGATTCAATCATCGAGTCACAATACCCAGAACTCGAAACTGTAGATTGAGGTAGATATCACCCGAATGTCAAATATTCGCAGTGCTGAACCCCAAAATTGTGGACTGTCGGGTCTCAGGGGTCGGGGGTTGGGGGTCGGCACTCAGGACTTGAGAAATTTGGGGAGATCAATAAAATTTGATTTACAAACAAATTGATTTACAAACTTTTGAAAGATATCTGTGTCATCTCACATATCGAGTCCCGAGTTCCGGGACCCCCGAGACCCGGAAGTCCACAATTCAGGCACCCGGCACTTGGGACTCGATTTTTGAGATGAAAGACATTTTTCAAACATGTTTGAATCAACCTTTCGTATATCCATACATTTTACCAACCCCTGAACCCCGAAATTGTGGACTGCCAGGTCTCGGGTCTCAGGGTTTGGGGGTCCTGGAACTTGGGACTCAATATGTGAGACGACACAGATATCTTTCAAAAGTTTGTAAATCAATTTGTTTGTAAATCAAATTTATTGTAGATCAAATTTTATTGATCTCCCCAAATTTCCCAAGTCCCAAGTGCCGACCCCCGACCCCCGAGACCCAGCAGTCCACAATTTCGGGGTTTGGGGGTTGGTAAAATCTCAGGGTTCGGGGTTCGGCACTGTGAAAATTTGACATTTATATTTTTGCGAGTGTTGTGCTTCTGGTGTCCGTGTGTAGAAATAGGATATGTTGCACACCAGGGTTCAGGTGTGGGGTTTTCCCACTTCAGTACTCGATTATTGGTCAATGCCACACATGGTCGATTCATGTTTTCGTGCTTATGGGTTTAGATTTCGGTGGTCAATGGTAGGTATATGCACTCATAGTGTGCATGTATCCTACGTGTTTGATTTGCTGGTGGCTACATCAGCTGTATGTCTTGATGAAATGTATCTAGGCTCACCCATATATGTACCCATCTATGTACAATTCCCCCACATCAGCCCACCCATCTATGTAATATCCCCCACGTCGACCCACTCGTCTATGTAATACATCATATGTTGGCCCACCCGTCTATATAATTATACCCCACCTTGGCCCACCTGTCTATGTAATAAATATTTTATCGCACCCTCAGCCCACCTGTCTAATTAATATCCCTTATGTCGGCCCACCCATATATGTGATATTCCACCACCTTGGCCCACCTGTCTATGTAATAAATATTTTATTGCACCCTCGGCCCACCCGTCTATTTGATATCCCTTATGTTGGCCCACCCGTATATGTAATACGCCCCACATCAGCCCACCTGTCTATGTAATATTCCCCTACCTCGGCCCACCCGTATATGTAATACACCCCCATTGGCCCACCCATCTATATAACAATATTTGCCTGACATCTCTCTTCAGCCCAGCCGTCTATAATATCCTACTCTACATATTACCCAGATGGGCCCACCCATCTCCATGAATGATCATATTCCCCCGGCCCATCCGTCAACATCAAGGATATATATATTATTGGCATACATGGGCCCACCCGTCTCCATCGGAAATAATATGCTACCCAGCCCATCCGTCATCATCGAGGATATACACAACATGGGCCCATGGTCTGCTGGCCCATCTGATATGGGATATTATGTAGGTCGGGTGGCCCGTATAATACGGAATTTGTCACTGAAGGGGCTCGGGTGAGTACATCATTCAAGACTCAGAAGAAAGTGACACATGCTGATAATACTTGCGCTTGACAGCTTTTCCAGTTGCTGTTGGGTTGAGCTTATAGCTGTCTTGCAGCACGACAGATCCAATATGTTGAAACATGGTAATCTTGCTATCACCGAATGTATTCTATGACATGGTCATAAAATGAATGTGAATCTGAAGCTGGATAGTACTTACCTCCTTCTTGTCCCGCTGTAGAGACTGATATCTCTGTGGCCTCATAGAGGTCTAAATTCCCAATCATCCTCCGTCCATCCATTCCATGTCCGTTCGGTTCATCGGTGTGTATTCCTATCATATTTCTGTTATTCTGACATATCTCCGGCGCTTGCACACTCATTCTGTATGTTGCATTACGGACCCTTATAACATTTATCATGTTCATCTCCTGGTTTACTTTAGCGCTTGACAGTGCTTATCCGTTACTTACATAGAATATATATACTTCCGCCTCGCTGTATAATGACCATCTTTCTTTCCGCACATTGTTGGGTTCTAAGTCTAAACTTTGCCATATCTGCCGCCCGACATTAAAGTATCTAAGTATACACGAGTGCCCGCCATCACACCTTACCAAGAACCTCTGTCCGTTTGTCTTCCGACTCACCTAGAGTCGCTTCGCTCCAACCACCCACACATGCACCATCGCACTTCGTCATTCAGTAGCACTCTCACTCTTTTGTGTGCCTTACTAGACTTGACCACGTGTCCGGTTCAGTGTTTCCCTCCTTTTATATACTTAGAGGAACCTTCTCAGTAGCAATCCCCTTGGGCCGACATTAGCTCATGCACAGAGGACTACTTGAGTACATCTCATACCACCCAATTATCTGCACTACACATTCCTCATCTACACCACTTCCTGAGACTAGTTTCCCATAACATAGAAACCGGGTCTCTTAGACCCATTATAGGCACTGAGAAGTGCTGCCTGAGGTGGTACAACCATGATGTGTCACAGGGAGTCAGTTGCTAATCAAATTCTGCCTTAGACCTTTTGCAACCAGGTTTTTCCAAATTCTGTTATGGCAAATGGCAGGACAGCCAACAACACTAGGTATGTTATAGAAATCAAAAAAAAATGCCACAAGATTGACAACTATTTTTTCACTGCTGTGCCACCTTCCTGCTCACGTTTACTCATTTCCAGATATTCTCATTGTCTTCTGCTGCAACCAATCTATTCCTGTCACCTCACTGTACATCACAGAAATATGCAGCTAAAACATTAACCCCACTGATGCTACTGGTAAATGAAAATTGCGCCCAAGAATATTTGAACTAGGTCTCAGAGCTATGTGACTCCAACATCATTATAGGCATTTCAAGAAGACGCCACTGGGCGGTATCTTATTCTGGGTCTCAAGGTCCAATTAGGCTAGATTTCTAACTCTGCAACTGTCATGGTGGTATATGTCATTGTTAAGACCATGCACAAAGGGTAGGACTGATTCCAAGGGGCTTGGCTTCAGCTCATGCGCTGCGCCCCTTACCCGAGTATGTGCCCTTAACTTCAGAATGAAGTCCGGAGAAAGTCCAGTGAAGTCCGAAGGACTTCCGGAGAAGCGTGGGAAACTTCGGAAGGACTTTCCGGACGAGTGCGAGAAACTTCCAGATGAGTGCGGGAAAGTTCCGGAGGAACTTCCAGAAATTACGATGGAGTTTCGTCCTGACGGGGATATGTGTAATGGCTACTCAGGACGAGTCCTGAGTAGAAGGAAACAGAGGAAAGGCTGCAAGGACAAAGTCCGAAGCAGGATAGGTCCGGAGGACCGCGGGAAACTTCCGGAGGAACTTCCGGAACCTTGGAGGATCGGAGGAATGGTGGAGCGGAGGAGCGGAGGAGCGGAGGAGCGGAGGAGCGGAGGAGCGGAGGAGCGGAGGAGCGGAGGAGCGGAGCTCCGGCCTAGGGAATTCCTCCCTAGGCCTGAGATGGATAATGACTAAGTTGGAGGACTAGAACTGTTACGAGGACTTAGGGTGAAGGCTAGTGCGAGGACTAATATGTGTATGATATTCAGACTGAGGAAGTACAAAGATTCTACAGAGTTTATATACTACAGAGGACTTAACGGAGAGTCAGTCAGCGCAGTCCGAAGCTATGCGAGGCTGTGGACGGAGGATGTAGAAAAGTCAAACACTAGTCTATCGGAAAATAGTAAATGAAGACGGAGATGAAGACATAGGAAAATAAAGCTGGAAATGAAACGAGGTACGGAAAATGAGGAAGTCTAACTCAAGAAGGAACATACAAAGGGATAAGGCACGGAAGATAGACGCGGGTCGGATCCGGATGTCCGGAGATGAATGCGTGATAGGTCTGGGTCCGGAACGCAAGGAAGATAGAGGTGGGTGGGATCCAGATGTTCGGAAGTCCAGAGACAGGTGATTACCATAAGGGGATGGGCGCTGATTTAAGGTTTGGGTTAGGACATGACAGATAGGTCAGATCCAGAGATCCAGAGATGTGGATATCAGATCTGGCGTCCGGATATCAGATGCAGGAGTACAGGGATCCGGACAGATAGAGGATTGGGTCTGGAGACATGGACAGGAGGTCCGGAGGTCCGGATGAGGCGTGGGAACATCGTCGGATGTTGGTCCGGAATGCGGGATATGACAGTCATGCACGACCTACACATCCACAGAGTTACAGCACCTGAAATATATAAAGGTAACACTGGGGCATGGCTGTGAGAAGTAACACCCTGTTTGTGATACTCTCCTCACTGTGAGTCTAGTTCACAGCTCAAAGGTCCTGTAGTCTTCACACTCATCATCACACCGATGCTTTCACAGGAACAGTTATGATGTTAGGTTGAGTCACTGTCACTGTTTCAGCTGGCTAACCTGGCCTATATGAACTCCAAAGATGAACAAGCAATTGTCAATGCATATGTTGGTGGGAAGGATCCACTTGAGAGGCTGGAGCACTTAACACTCTTGAAAAAAGCTATATGGAGGCATGCTATGGCAGGTTTTCCAACACTTCCTGGCGCTCCTCCTCCCCCACCAAAGTCGGACATGGTAGGTGGGGGGTCTGTCACCGGCGAGGGGTATAAGCCACACAAAGCGGAGCACATTTATGCGCTCATGGGCTTTTTTGAGCACCGTATTCAGCCGAACCACGATGAGGATGAGTTACGCGCACTCGCGAGGTTGTCAATGGCCAACGATAATGACCGCATCGCTGATCACATGGTGTCCATGTTTCCCTCAACCACCACCCCAGGGGCGTGCTGGTACGCCGACAATGATATCTACGACGCAAATCTCTGGGATATTCTTCCGGAGATCCAAGTCGCTGGTGTAACAGAGAACGGAGCTCTCGTTTTGGATGGCTGTCGGGTGGCAGCCATCAGATGGAAGGACTTCCCGGAGGTCCCATTTGCAACCACATTTTCGTTGAGGAGGAAGATTGTCGGTTCCATACCGTATTTCTCCTGGCCTTTCATTGTCATTGGTTTAGGGGTTATACCGAATACCAGCAGAGTAGCAGGCTTCGTACTCATTGGCATCGGACTCCTCCTCCTGTTTGTTTCCCCTCGACTGTTTCTCTATAGCAAATCTGGGCGTATAATCAACAAACAACCGTGGTTGATCGGGGTCAAAGGAGTGGTTGATAGAGAAACGGTAGAGAGTCACTTATACGGGGGTACCATTGCACACTTCCCAAGGATGTATTTCACTCCGAGCGGTTCACTGTTCTCAAAACCGGAACAATTCTCGAGGCGGATAGGCTCAGACGAGCAATATGAGGATGCGAAGGAACAAGCGAAGAGTGGACCAGGACATATGTTCACGCTCATCGACACATATTCGTCAACCATGTACTATTTCCGTGCTGAGCGACCGCCGACGGTATGCATCTTCGCAGGACGGGAGGGAGGGCTTGGGAGGTTTGTGCTTTGTTCGGAGAGCTGTAGGGCCAATGAACTGCATAAGGAGATGGTGTTGCGGATGCCCACGGAGATCAGTCAGAGGATGGAGTTGTGTGGCTGGGTCGCGCTTGGATGAGATTGATTTGTTCTCGATGACATGCTTTCAAAATTTTGAGCGACCAAGCCTCTTCAAGGTAAATACATTAGACAATCAAGAAATGTACGAGATGCACACGTATTCACGTATCAGAGTACACGAACATCAGCTTGTTTAGCTTCACACCGGCGTCCATCCATCCGACGACTCTTTAAGTGTACGGTAGGGAGGATCTTCAGTGACGTGTCGCTTGATATACGGACTCAGAGTCTACTGGAAGTGGCAGAGTTGAATACGCTAGAAGTTGATCAGTTGGTAAATCAAAATATGGAGGAAGCAAGGGGCCCGTGAAACCCCTAAAGGCAGTCAGAAAACGCTTCCATCTATATGGATGTTAGATTCATGGCTGCAGTCTCAACCCAGATCACTTACTGCCTATAGTTCGCTATTCGCAAAATGAGCATCATAAATGATTACATGCCTTGATCACTTGCAATACACGAGGGCATTATGTCACTTCCAAAAGAACCGAGTCAACTCAACTGCCACGGCGAGAATATCAAGCCTTTTCAACGACCCCTGTCTTCCAGAGAGGCAGTCGCACGGCGCCGATGATCATGAAATCTTGTTGATGCAAACAGCAACACCTCCCTTGCGAATTGGGAAAGGACTAGATCGGTGAACTTCACGGCGAGCTTCACACATACTCGTGTGAGCCGGCCATAGGATAAGGTAAATGCTAGACCGCCAAATATAGCCTTGAATTGAGCCTTGGTCTCTTCCTCGTTCGGTACCGTCAGCATCCGTGGAGCGAACAAGCTAGAAATATACCCTCCCTGGAACATGAGCCACAGATGCTAGGAAGAAGAGAAGGGCATGAGGATGGAACATGGTGGCGCACAGTTGAAACAGGAGTGTCACACTAGTGCGGATACGAGATGGCCAAAGGAGGGCTCATAGGAGAGTCCCCATTTGGATCGATGGATGGGTAGAGGACTTCCAATTCTGAATGAGAAATGCTGGTGCAGTGCAGGAGCGTAATGTATCTATTCAAAATGGCCTCCCGTGTTTGCATTTCATCGTTTCTTGGCGACAAACCTTGCAATCGTCGAAACTTCGGGGGACCAAGAGGTACAAGATACATCAAACTCACCTTTGAGAGATATCGACAAATCTGTCAAGCGGGATGCGATCCTCGTTCTTCCAAAACACCGTTCTTGCTTTACAAGCCGTACAAAGTGTTTTCCTGAATCATGCAAAATGATAGAAGGACACGCACCAGTCAGGAGCATTCACAGTCAAGTACTCGAGCTGTGAATCTATCGCAGCAGCCATTCTCTGACCACAAAATGCGTACTCTCAGCACTCTCCGGATCCAGTCTTGCTGCACATTCACCCACCTTTGCCGCATCTGAGCGGTTGCAGGTCCTGCTCAAATGTCCTACTCGATGATAGACCGAGGTAAGTACCTGACACAGACATACAGCTCACTGCTTGGAAAACTTACTCTGCTCTGATACTTTGACTCATCTGCATAGACCATCGCTGCAGGAACAATGACCAACTCCTTACCTTCCTTCCCTCACAAATTCATGGCTTTACCGTACTCCGCCGCACCGTCCTTCACTTGCACGATTCCAGGCTCTGTGTACAACATTCATTCGTGGATAACTTCGCTAGCTGCAAGAGCGGCGTAGGTGTGGCGAAACAAGTCTGCTCGCGAGCGATTACGGTTCGCGGGAACGGCGATGAAGAGCTGTCGGGGTTGCAGTAAACGAGGAAAAAGTGCGCAGGGTGCTGGATATGGGGTTCTTGAAAAGAGATGATTTTTCCCAGTAGCATATCTTACGAGGATATGATATCCTACGAGGATACGATCCTATGAGGATATGATATCGTCGCTGCTGCGATATCGGTTGTTCAAGGGAACTTATTAGGGAGTGCTTACATAGTACCGCAATGTCGACAATGAGTCGCAGTACTGATGACAAGTTTGCTACAAGGATAGAACGGGAATTTGGAAACGTACATGATTTCCGGTCCGTCCCGTTCCCGCCTCCTGTGACGTGGCAGACCTCGGAATAGAACCCAGACATGGTGCAGTCCGCAGAAACCTATACACAATCATGAGTTCCCGTTGCTGGCTGCTCCTCGCATTCAATAACTTCAGGCTGAGGAGGTACAACGTATGTTGCGTTATGTTGGTGGTAAGAACAGGAAGAAAAATCATTACATAAAGCGGAAGCTCAAAAACCTAGTCAACTTTCACATGATTTTCACGCTCAGCGCTCAGATCATCACGCGTCGATACGAAGCACAAAAGATGTTGACAGCACAATACTAGAGACACAAACAGGTGAACGACCGCGGGGCAGGCAAAAAACCTGATGCGCGTCGAACGGCGACATATCATTTGTAACTCCAATTACATGCATAGCAATTTTTGGCTCTTCGGAAATCTGATAAGAATAACATGAAGATGGAGATCACAGACGACGACCACGACGACCACCCTGTTAAAAGATTAATAACAACGTTCCCTCGGAACGGGTGAGAGCGCGTACCTTGCGCCTGGTGGAGTCGGTAGGGACAGGGGTAACGTCCTCGATACGCCCGATGCGCATGCCTGCGCGAGCAAGAGCACGGAGGGCGCTCTGTGCACCGGGACCGGGGGTCTTGGTGCCAGTACCACCGGTTGCACGGAGCTTGATGTGGAGGGCAGTGATGCCGACCTCGCGGCAGCGCGTGGCAACGTCTTGAGCAGCCAACATAGCGGCGTATGGGGACGACTCGTCACGATCAGCCTTGACTTTCATGCCACCTATTCACGATGATCATCATGTAGCTAAGATCTATACCAAGATAGCGAGTCGCGCGTACCAGTGACACGGGAGATGGTCTCCTTGCCAGAAAGATCGGTGACATGGACGAATGTGTCGTTGAAAGAGGCGTAGATGTGTGCAACACCGAAGACGAGCTCTCCTTCAGCAACCTGAGGACCGAGCGAAACGGTGTTTTCTTCTTTGGCGACCTTGGTTTTTTTCGGGGCCTGTGCATCCAAAAGTCAGCTTGCAATCCATCTGAATGACAGGCCAAAAATGCGAAACGGTGCTCAAATTGATGGTATAAAACATTTCAGGACGGTGTACGGAACGATATACGCACCATTTTGACGGGCTTGAGGTATATTCAGCGATACGGGCCTTGGAGTCGAGGAATCTGAAGCAAGGTTTAGCGGGCTATTGAGAAGTGAGCAAACATGAACAAATAACAACAGTACGCGAAATTCAAATTAATTTGCACGGAACCTGGATCGTGTATAAAATACAATCAAGTTGCTTGAAAACTCCTTCATGCTATTCACCTCAATTCAGAACGGCCCACACGACTATCAAGCTTCCTCAAATTCCCAGCGAAGTTTCGAAGATGAGAAGATGGAAGTGAATGGCCACTAGTATTCATCAATGCGTAGTATGTAGTATGATCTCAATGTCGCTTTTAGTGGGCGCTCCTATTACGACTCGCACGCGAGGCTGTCTGCGTGTTAATAGAAACATGGCGATCGATAGGCTGCGTTAATTTTACGTGTGGTCGGACCCTGCTTAATACTACGGCTAGAAGAATGATATCATGAAATATCTCCTATTAGTATCACGTCCTGAGTGGAACAGCAAACGCTTCCTCAGTACAGTACACATATAGAAGCCTTATCAGATACTCTTCTCGGCAGGGACACCCAGTCACCTGGCTGCAAATCCCTAATACGGTGTCCTATTTATGATGATGGATTGATCAGTTGACCTGTCAATCTGTCACTGTGACATATATAAACCAATCAAACAGGTCAGGGACTCTTATTCTCCAACTTGCATCTAATCAACCTACATCCACCTCTACTCATTCACCATGACCGTCTGCCAGGCCTTCGCCAGCGCTCTCGCTAACAAGGGTGCGCATGTTGTACATATTCGATCGTTACAGAACATCATGACCCTCGATCAGGCATGAACCCACAGCAGCTCGCTATCGCAACTCAAAGTGACCAAGGCCGCATATCCCAGAGTACGTCAAGACACTGCCGTTCTTCGATCGTATATATATGCTGACTGATAACGCACAGTTTGCGCGGGCACCGTGACCCCCACGAGCGCAGAATACAGCAAGATTGCATCTGCGTTGGGTCTGAGCAGCGTAAGTATCGTTCGATTTGTTTTGTGTGCTCCTTTTGATCTGTCGTGTCAGGTCCCTGCTAGTCACCCTTAGTTTTGAACCTTTTTTACTGTATAGTATTCGTAGTCTTTGTATCAATAACCTATGGAATGATATGCTGGACGAGACAACTGCTGGCAGTGATTGCGATACGACGAGCACGGCGACTTGATGTCCTAATCGAGCACAGCCTACCCAATACCCAAATATATTCAACAGATAGAAGCAGACTCACGATAAATATTGGTCAGCCTATCGAAAGAAGATAGTCATTAGGGTTCCAAGAACGCTTCGCCAGAGCACAGTCCCTCGAAGGAGTCAACACCTCCTATGCTCATCACCACCGTGGCCCCAATTACAATCAGACAGATCGACGATCAACGAGTCTTGCAAAAGGAAAAGCCAAAGGAACCAAAGGTCAATTTACGTCAAACCTCCAATCGAGGTCCCCTATCATCCGCACCACCCACAAATCGCGTTTCAGGGCTTCACGTCACAAAAACCGAATCCATGCACAACGATACGCGGCGGAGAACACGACACGATAACGCCAAGACCGTAACTTACCTTGCAAGGTTCGCCTACCCCCCGCATGCGTTTGCAACGTTGCAAGCTCTCCGTTTTGAGTTTACGCTTAACCATTGAAAATATTTCGCGTAATATCCGACGAGAAATTCAGCTGGATTTGTCGCCCTTTGTGTTAGGGCCATGCGCAGTTAGGCCGATGATGCGCAACCCTCGTAGCCTCGTTGCATCGGCGCTGTACCTCTTTCGGAAGGCAGCGTGTTTTACACGATGCAGGTGTTCAGGGACTCGAATATTGTTCGAAAACAAATATCCGCGCGTTGGAAGTCGTGAACTTACTGGAATTCGCAGGATGATAAGCGTTTAGCTCACGGAGCAAAGTAAAGCTGTGGTAGCACAAGATACGCGGCGTCCGCAAACTCGAGTCAGTGCATGTGATTATAACCATGGACTTGTGGAGCTTTGCACAAACCCAAGTTTACGTGCACACTGCAATGTTTGAAACACTCAGACTTATCCGCGGAGAACTCACCTGAATGTTGGAACGGTTGAAGCGTTTTGACTTTCACATTTCGATCAAACAATATCCAATTGCAATATCAAATCAACCACCCCAGTGCGAATGAGAACGCTACAATTGTCATTCAAAAATACTAGGTAAAACGTCACAAAGATCATGTACTACTACTGTGTAAGTACTCAGAATCATCAAAACCCATAAGGGAGTCTGCGAAAACTAAAATTCGCAAACTTATCGTAAGAAGCAACTAACCGATAGCGAGACGGTATATCTGAAAGCACGACGGCTGGGAATGGCAGGGAGAAGGGGGATACGGAATATAGGTTCAACGGTCAAGTTCTGGGAATCAAGGGGGAATCGATGAGGAGCAGATGAAATGGAAGCGGGACAAGGGAGAGCAAGGAACGCTAATGACAATGAAAGCGGAACGACGCAATGCTACGGGGAATGTATGCTTGTGCAATCAAACGCACATAAAAACGCGCTCCTTAATTAAGGGTTGAAATGTTCAAAGGAAATAAGTAACAGGAACGAAAACGGGTATGGCTCAGAAATCCTGCCAAAGCCAAATGCTGTCAAGAAAGCGAAATGGATAGGATACAAAGAAATAAAGCATTAGTATAAGGAGCAGCGCCAATGATGAGATGCAGATGAGAAAGATGCGAGAGAAATGGAAAGAGTCAAGTCAGATGGATACGAGAACTAGGCGACAGATAGCAATATGAGACAAGTAGAGTAGTAGTCCTGGGACCGCTAAACTGAAACCAAGCAAAGACAAATCCAAAAAGGAAAGAAAGGAAAAGGAGAATTTTTAAGCAGCGTTTGTTGAGAACGAGGAGCGGGCACGGCCTGGAGCTGCAGACGAACCAAAATAGGGTGGATAGTTGATAGTTTTGCCAGTCGGCGGGCTGTATGCCACATTCGGCGACGGCATCCAACGTTCGTGAATCCGTTCTCGTTCCCTTTCCTGCTCATCAGAGTGAGAACGAGTTATTTTTTGGGGCGACGACGCGGAAACGGAGATAGTCCGCGGTCTGGAGGGGGGGATTGGGGACGTAGCACGTAAGCGAGACGCCGACAGCATCGACGCTTGCGTTGGGGTCTCAGACCTAATCGATGGTGTCGTCATCCGTGCGGGGGTCGTTGGTCTTGACCCTCCTGACACAGATGCAGACGTACTTCGAGAATGAGTAGCCGCGAAGCGCGAAAGCATGGATGGCATAGCTGGTACGTTGTACGTAGATGCCGCGGATGAGGAAACCGATTGACGCCGCTCGCTTAACCCAGTTGGAGCGGCGGTGCTGGGACGGACAGGTGACGTTGTGGCTTGAGATGATGCGGACTTAAGAGTGAAACGGCTAAGCTCTGCTCGAAGAGCCTGGCATTCTTGTACTTTTTGGTTGTGAAGGGCTTGCTATAACAAAAGAAGACAAGGTCAGCGGCGTAAAACATCCTTGAAACTATAACGTACTTGTCTAGAAGAATAGTCAGCCAAGTAAAAACGTATATATCAAAAATTTACGTACTGCTTTAGATCGGCTTCTAGCTTGGTGACAGATGATTCTGCGTCGTCTAGCTTCCCTTTTAGGGTGGCCTCGACTCCCTTTGCCAATTTGGTGGCTTCCGAATGAGCGAAATGATTCATCAAAATCGCCCTGAGCAGCGCAGCACTCAAGGATAAAGAAGAGTTCAACTGCACGCAAAAGTTAGCCGGACGACAAACATTGAATAGCGATGAAAAAATTTACCTGGTCGTTAGATTTCTCATCATTAGTCAACCAGTCTTGTAGCTCGTTGTGTAGAGTCGAAACCTCTTCCACTGAGCATTTTTTAGCAGCTACTTTGGCTACTTTATCCTCCAGCCTACGAGCTTCTGCGCGGGTACGCGAGGAGCCCGGCTCAACGAAGGGAAAACGATCTTCCCGTCGTGGCGCGGAGCGGTCAGCAATGTCAAGAGCCTCAGTGAGGCCACCTCGCCGCCGAGTAGTGGCCCATCCACTTGCTGAGAAGTCGATGCGGATCAAACGCACATCCTCGCTAGTGAAATGATCCCGACAGAACGGACAGACGGGCTGAAGACGAGGCAATGTCTTTTCTACGATTTTATGGCAGCAACTAGAGCAGAGGACATGACCTGGGGGATAGAAAGATTTATGACTCGAGTTAAAAAAAATTCCCACATCATGAAAAGATTGAGAGCTCACCGCAAGGAATTGAGTGAGGAACACAGTGCGGACCGTACTCTTCTGCGCACACATCGCAGACTGAACCAGGACTAAGCGTGAGCATGAGGTCAAGACGATAAAACCCTTGCCAGGTTTGCTAGTTAGAAAGCTTTTGACAAGGGGTATCGCTTGACCTGGTGGTGGATAAATAGCATGAAGTGAAAAATCTCAGAATGACGGCAAGTCACCAAAAGTAGCCAAACAATGCACTGCACGCATGGCTTGATAGCCAAACAAATCATATTTCTTCTGCCATCTAGCCATAATCACTAAACACGCCGTCTTCATAATATGTTAATTTCATCTACAAGCTGCATCTGCAGGTTCCATGACATTTTCTAGAGAGCCTCCTCATGTTCTAGGTATTTCTTTCAGGATCACAAATCACAAATTTTGGATGAATAATAATTGAGCTTCCATTATGCAATGGACAAGTACTAATTTAGGGTTAGGGCTTAGGGTATTTCACCCTTTGTCCTGGTGGCTTTCAAAGCATGACTCGACTAGAAGAACAGCCAAGGCTATCGTACGAAACTTGCCGAAGGAACTCACAGCCTTTTTGTGCCAATACCGCCTAGCTATTGGCAAAAATATCACTCGGAACCGTTTCTATCTCACACTTTTACCCATTTCAGGTCATATAACATATCTGGTGTGCGAAACACGTGTTCCCGCCACGGCGGGATTCACCCGCTCATCAACGGTGTATGACTGATGTTCCCGCCTGTGTTACGCCGCAGCGTAAATACCCACAATCCAGGCCCACATATGACTCCACTGATGTAGTCATGGGTAGTTTCGCCTAATCAGGTGGCGCACTTCGCTGTGCTCTTCCATGACAATCAACCATCATCAGCCGTAGATGGCATCCTTCCTGGCCTCGGACGGAGCAAGACAATGGCCAAACTACCAAATGGCAGCAAAGCAAAGTTGCCCACATCAGGCCATCTCACGAGCTGTTCACGAGACTATCCACCGTTATCGGAAGTCGGAAGATGTCTATCGGTACATGCTTGACACGCCGGACCTACAGGTTTGTCGCAAATTTTGGAATAAAGTATCGAAAGGCCAAAAATTCGACTGATTATTACACGACAATAATCCTCTGCACACACGCACACGTTCGACTTGCGATATGTTTCCTTTCTTGCCGACCATCGATTATCGGATTCGGATAGTGGATAGCAGGCTCTTCTTCGAACACGCCCTAGGCCATGCTGTCATTCTCTGAAGCGTTTTTTAAAGTTATCACAATCTCATCGTGGAGCTTGTGGCGGGACGAAGGTGTGCCATTCCGTTGGTCAAGGTCCCGTCTTCCGCGATCCGGCGTTGTCAAGAAGATATAACGAGGCTGAAACACGAGATCTCGTCGTTGCACAGCTCTCACTCGGTCCCAGGCACACTGATCCGATATCGATTCGGAGGATCTGTAAGAAACTGCGTACCCGCGCACAGATCGTCCGGAGCGCTTGCAATGCTCTGCAGTCTTCCCGCAGTGCCTGGCGGATCCAGCGGCTGCGGTATCGAGTCATTCCCTCGACAAACTGCCATCGGCGCAGTCCGATCATAGCTATAGTAAGCTGGTGTGCGCTAATCACAGGTCTCTACAAACGCACACGGGATCGCACGTTACGGAGTTTGCTCTGCCCTTCGATTAGTGCGTCTCCTGATACCTCCAGATCAAGGTATTGGAGTCCTTCTCCTAATTCACACTTTCTTCGAAGTCAACTGAACGTGATGCCATGAGCTGAACGGGTCACCACTCTTCCCATCGTCAATTAAGGAGATCTAGCGACCTATCGGCGGGTCGCACGTTTTATACCGAGGGTGACCTCTTTCGCCAACACCATACGGGGGCATTGTTTAGCCCCCCTAGCGAGCGTCTATCGCAGATTTACATGCTGAAGCTAACTTTATGTTGTTCATCCCCAGGTCTAGGTGCGGCCTGATCTCACAACAAGGTAGGGCAGCATCATCGTGCACTACTAAGTACTTACCACATCATGAAACTTAATATCTTACCCCACCCATGCTTCATCTCCGGGGCATGATCTCAATCACAAGGATAGCGATCCATCATATAACTAGCTCTATAGAATGCTATGTATAGGCCGATGCGACTGTACATGAATATATGTGCTTCCAGAATATTATACGTGGAGAACGAATAGATAGGTGATTGGGTGGAAAGATCCCTGAAAGCCTCATCGCAAGCTCGTGGCATCCATGATGCGTTCTATCTGAAGTTGTTCGCGCACGCGTGCAACCTTTTCCTCAGGGGTTCACCCAACAACCAGCTTCCCTACACCACCTGTTATTGTGCCCTCGGAAAGCAACTGCAGTACTTCACCCACTGTGACTGACTACCCCAAATGAACTTCGCCTCCGCGCCTCCAACATCAAGTGCAGCTACGGAGTTTAGGAGTGAGAGAACCTGGGAAGCACGCAATTGGAAAAAGAAACGCATCATGAAGGACCTGCGCGGCTAGTACTGCCGTCTCCAGTAATCTCCCGTCCCCAATCATTCTCGCGAAATACGTCCAGAAAACGCGGCAAGTGGGACTTATCTTATCCAACATATGGCTGCGGCACGGACGTGGCTAAAATCAGGGAATAGACACGCATCATTCATGATACGCGCATGACGTCGACCTCTGGCCATTATTAGTTTTGTACTATCCCATCTCTTGGTGTGCTCCTTGTCGTTCCACGCAAGTACCGCTTGGATCCGTGGAAGGAACATGACGGCACGGACCACTCACCGGACCGCTGCATTGCGGGCTTCGCGAAGAGGATATTCGAAAGGCCTTCCAGCGTGCCTAACAGTCTCGACCGACCAGGGGCAAGAAGTATGTGTAATGCTTCATTCTTCGGCGGTGAACTTTGTTTCGGCTTGAAGGTGGGCGGCTTTTGCTAACGACACAATAGATATCTAGAGGAAATTCACTTCTTTGTTTTTTTTTATTTTTGGAAAGGTGTAGCAACAGAAAATAGTTCTAGTCTTACAATGTACGGTATAGTTAGCGGGGCTCTTTGAGAAAGGAAGTCGTTCTGACCGACAAATGATATCTACGATTTGTTGGACCGCAAACTTTAATTCGAGGTGACGGATTAATAGCGGAAATGAACTTACTGTTCACATGACGGAGTCGATGCCTTTTATTTACAATTACATGGTTCCCCGATTTTTGGTGTTATCTGTTGGCGAATGGCGCTCCATTGGGATTTGAGTTGCTCCCCCTTCTTTACCATTGACCTGGCATTCTAATTCTGGATCAGGTATTGGTATTGCGTTGTGTCGCATGAGAAGTAGCATTTCCGCCTGGCAAATATTCGAGGGCGTCCACTTCTGTTACCTGAGGCGAAAAACGATGACGGCGGCCGAAATCCATAGCCTTACTGGTCGTAACATTGTCGCTGGATCCCGACACTGACGTTTTGCAGATAATTTCAACCGGAGTAGCGTTGACCCGACATGTCAAATACATTCCGGCTCAACTTGAGAACTGCGCTCTTCCTGGTCCTCAGGCACATATTGAGTATCCATGACCGGCGGAATAGAATAACGGATGTTGAGGAATGCTAGTAAAAATACTTCGATGACACTGTGCCCTCTGCTCCATGGGGTAACTCGGCCTCAGATGCCAAGAGCTCGGCAGCATACGTGCTATTGTCGACAACCTGACGTCAGAAGGTGCAAAGGATCTTGCAGCCATCGATGCACACACTTGCTGCGGATTTTTAAAGGTGAACGAGCATGACCTTCGTGTAGGGATGAGTTATCGCGGATAGAAGCTGAGTAAACCCACTGACAATTGACAAGGACGCACCACGATCGACATGCACATGATAAGTGACTGGGGTGATGGGGGTAGACAACGTCTTCTTGGTGTTGCCCTCAGCAACGATTCAATGACACAGTCATGGTGGTTTTCTTTCCTGTTGTAAGTTAGCACGCAGTATAGTACATATATCAATCCATGCTGGGTATGAATGAAAACGTGTTAGATTCGATATCTTCGAAATGCATGCGATTACAATGTGATGTCCTAGCGTTCATCGTGCCATGAACACGATTCATATCTCCGACTCGTGCGATATCCGTGTGATCCTCTTGTACTCCACCTCATGGTGCTGCGCTAGTAAAAGAGCACCGAAGGGCTGTATGAGGGCTGCTCTCCCTGCTTAGAAAAAAATCAAAAAGGCAGAAGCAGCCAGCCCCAGCTCTACCGTATGAGACCCTGGATCAGTCAGCAGACTATTTGAAAACGTGCCGGCTCCTAGAATGACGTCCTCTGTCAGTCATGAAGGTACTGATCGGTTAACCCAGCTTGCAGGGAAGGGTATCTGTGCGTATATGTGCTAATATTGTCAACAGAATTCTTCCCACTGACGTCAGAGCCTGCGAGGGATCTTGCGGCCTTCAGTCGAACTCGCATCAGAGCTAATTGCGAAAGTTGACATGAGCATTTGCAAGGATGATCAATCGATGATGAATGACCGGGACCTGTGGGCCCCGGGTGGGAGCGACAAGGATACAAACAAGTCGCGGTACTATTGGGAGCATCAGGGACAAACAAACACCAAACAATGCCTTGGTGTCTCATACGATCATAGTTGTCATACGTATACAGACTTCAAAATCCATGCACTAGCTACAATATCTCTAGCGTTCTGATGTTCATGTCATCAACAGCAGTTATGTCCTTGACCCGTGCCATGATATTGTGATCCGAAGCGATTCTCCTGTACTCCCCACCACGCTGCTGCGCTAGCAAAAATGCGCCAAAAGCCTGCCCGAGACGAACCGTCAACCGTACCGCTCGTAAGGGCAACTCTGAATCAACACTTTCTTCATATTTGTCAGGAGAACCGCTCAGTGAACGATCTGACATTGACCAGGGCATAGACATTGTTTTGATGGACATATCATCCTCAAAGTCAAGTAGCCCGGGGTCATAACGATTCCACGGGCGGACCAGCAGGAATGACTGCGGAATGGGCCTTGTGCGCGAGAATTGAGTCAGTTTATCCTCTGTGGTGATCACAAGGTCTTGAAGCCCGTCTGCCTTTACAAAATAAGTGAAATATGTCCCCTGATCCCTTCTTCTGACATCTGTGACAGGGAATGCGATGCAAGGCAGTTGCAGTCTGGAGTTCGCGAAACGAGGAGCACTGAGGTTGTCAAGGAGGGTATAGAGTTTCGTAGCTGACTCCACAGGGACAACATCTTGCAGCCTGGAGACGGACATTTGCATCTCATCTTCCGGTAAAGATGTCAATATGCATGGCGGGGCTTTATACGAGGTAATGTCAGCTGGGAGACAGCTGTTGAACCGGGATGATTTCCCGATCCAGTCCAGGGCGGTAATGTCGCCCGACTGGGCGACGATCTCCTGTATAAGCCGGCCGAGCGCATTTTGTTTCGTTTCGCCGTAGATAATGGGTAGGTGGATGCCGAAGATGCCAAACAATGAGTACGCGATGTCTTCCTGCAATGTAGTCACACGGCTTGATGCCCATTGGAGTTTCTCGCGCGCGCCTCTCATGCCCGAACGGAAGGTGACAAGGGACGATGCATCTATGCCTGTTGAAATCTGCAGCTCCTGCATGATAGTGGCAGACTTCTTGTGGTTAGGAGAGTGGTCGTCGAGATATCGGGTCCAGTCTGCTCGGAAGAAGAGAACAACTACGGAAGCCAAGAATTCCTGAATAGTCCATCCTCGTGTGTTCCAAGCGCTCTTTGCCAGTGCGCCATACTTCGCTGAGGACGGGACGTCCGACAGATAGATGATCGTAAGAGCTGACTGACGATACCAAACAAACATAGAGTTCACTGATCGTTGGAGCTCAACATTGTTGTTCTGATCGATGCAGCAGGTATCGCTCCACGCCCAGCGATACCCCGCATCACGAGCAGTTTTGCAGAATGTTTGCAACTTGACCATGGCTCCGACAGGATTCAAATCGTACACGACCTTGTCCTGGATGTCGTGCAACAGTGGCTCCTTCTGTTCCCACCTGTGCGACAACATGACTCGACTGAAGTACTTCTTGACTGTTTCTGTGATGAGCTCCGTTTGAAGGGGAGCATGGATCATCAATGAATATAAAAGCTGCTTGTATTCTGTGCTTTCCATGAAAATGTGTGTCTGCGCCTCTAGGTTGCATAAACGCCCAGTAGAGGTGTTGAGTAGACGAAGTGGAGCATTTTCAAGTCGAACGTGAACGGCTTGTTGAATGGCGTCCTTTGCTTCAGATGGACTGATATATTGCCAACGCAGCTCTGGAAATCAAGTTAATGATCTTCCCATTGACACGTAAGTAATGTGGGGCTTGCTTTGTTTCTGAGTATCGGGACCGCAGTCCAACTTGGAGAGCATCATCTCAAAGGCATCAATTGCTTCGCTATAATGTTGGGCCTCGTAGAGTGCTACATGTTTCATTTCGTAACCAAGATATGACGACGGGTCGAGTTCAATGACCTGCACATCGGTGGTATTAGCACAATTACCAGAACAACAATGGATATCATCCACACCTTTTCCGCATCCTGAAGGGCCTCTGCATAGAGCTTTAGTTCTAAATTTACCTTACTGCGGTGCGTAAAAAGGGACGTCCTCGTAGAATCTAGCGCAATCGCGGCCGTATACAATGAGACAGCCATCTCATAATTGCTCGCAGTAACAGCTTCGTGTGCCTTTGCGACGCAGTGCGCAGTGCAGTCTAGCTTGAAGGCTGATCAGTACCACTATGAGTATCATTGTTCATTTTGTTTTACCTTAAAACACTTACTGGTAGACCATTCGATGCGGCTGCCCTTCCCAGCTTCGTTGACCATGTTCATCATATATTGAAAAGATTCGACTGCTTCGATCACCCGACCAGCAAGGAGGAATGCATCACACCGTCTTTGGCTGATAGTTTCCCATAACGAATCCAAATCCCAACCGAAAAGCTGTGTGGTGCGCTTGATTAATCAAGTGTCCTCGGCAGCTTCGCAGTGACGCACCACCGTGAATATCTTCAATCTAGGTTCTAAAAGTGTCGGATGTAAGAACAAACCAGTAATACTGGCCGTGAATTGATCAGCGGCTTCGCTGTACTGCCCATTTTTCAAATCAATTATCGCAAGCTGCGCACGTAAATATGACTGGAGAGTCTCAAAGTGAGAAAACTTGCAAGGTTTAATATCAAACCTACATTAATAACGTTGCATGGAAATCTATTTCGGTGTTGATAAGTAGTAGTCAGGTCTTTAATTCGTCGCATCGCCTCATCGTGATAATTGGCATTGAAAAGTGAGACAGCCTGGACAAAATGATGTTAAAGTTTTAGTATGACTAAAAAACTATGGAAACAGCGATAAAAATACCTTGATCAATAGTAAGAGATCGACTATAATCGGATCACGATTGCAAAATATGAAAGCGAGGTCGAAAGCTTCCATGGCGCCCCAGAGCTGCCCATTGCCGCAGAGGGCGATGGCCTTGGAAATGTAGCCCAATAAGGAAGGCTGGATCGCAATTGACTGTGAGATAAAGTCAACCTGTCGTCAGTGGCTTCATCAAGTAGACTATCTGACCTTGACTGCATCTTGAAGTGCATACTTCCACTCGGCACGTCGTGCCCTTACAACTGAGCGATTAGCATAGGATTCGTAGTTGTTATCATCCGCGTCAATCTCTTGGGTCAGCAGCTCTTCAGCGGTATCTAGGATACCAGTAATGGATGCATCGCAGAGCGTCGCCTGTATAGTAAGGATCTGTACAAAGTAAGTTCACATTCCGTCATAAGTGAACGCATCGAAGGCAAACAGCTCACGTCAAATAATGAGTGTACGTCGTCAATGTCAGAATCTTCGTCAATTTCCGAGGAATGATTACTCGGACTGCCGTGATTGCTAAGGAACTCTTCATTTCTCTCGTAACTGCGCAGCTATTCGCCACCACGCCGAATAATGTAGATGAATGGAAGAGCGAAACAATTATGGGCATAAGCATACCTGAGTTTCACTGAATGGGAGTTGTTGTTGCCGTGCTTCTTTATTTTCCAATATCCCTTCCTCTGCATTGTATTGCTCGAGTATATTCTTGATAGAGCAGAGCAGCACCTTCCCTTCACCATCACCACTCACAAGCACCTCTCCATTGAGAGAAATTGCAACACAGCGAACCCAGGCAGTGTGCTCGAGTACCTGTCCTATCAACTTGTGTGTCTTTGTGCTCCAAAGCCGTAAAGTCTTGTCATCCGAGGCAGTGGCAATGAAGGAACCGTCAGAAGATATGGCGAGAGAGTGGTAAGCGTGACCAGTGCAAGGTTGACCGATCTGGGCTCCGTCATCTGAGCTCCAAAATCTGACTGTTTTGTCGAACGACGCAGAAACAAGTTGCTGACCGTCAGGCGACCACACGACGTTTCGAATCCAATGTTGGTGAGCGTCGATTTTGAGAAGAAGCTCGGCATTGTCGGAGCGCCAAATCCGGATGGAATGGTCCGCTGACCCGGAGGCTAGTTTTAGCCCATCTGGGCTGAATGCAACACTCCAGACCGAATTATTATGACCGTCAATTGTTGCAAGGATAGCGCCAGTCTTGGCATCCCATACGACAACTGTTTTATCGTGCGATCCGCTGGCGAGTCTCTTTCCATCAGGTGAGAAACACACCGACAACACCCAGCCTGTATGCTTCTCCAGTGGATCGAATATCATCTGTTTGCTCTCAACGTCCCAGACGATGATGGCTTTATCATCTCCGCTGCTCGCAATTTGCTTGTCGTCTGGCGATACTGCGACCGATCGCACATAGTCCTTGTGACCCTCGAATGGCTCTCCTACCAGTGATCCTCTCTGCATGTCACAAATTCGCAGGGTTTTATCGTGTGAAGCGGTAACGACTCGTCGGCCGTCTTTGAAGAACGCAACCGCCAACAATGAATCAGTGTGACTTCGCATCGTCCGCGTAGGCGCCGATCGCTCTTGCATCATCCGATCCGCGGATGCTCTTGCGGTGGGGTGCGCTTCTTGAGACACTCCTAGTAACATGTCGCGTTAACCTATGCAGGGAACAAGATGATCAGTAGCATCTCCAGTTGACGAGAGCAGCATACTTTGGGGATGTATTACGGCGTGGATCCTGTGTGTGTGGTAAGCAGTTCCCAACTCATGAAGGCGCTTATACAAGGTTTTGTTGGCTCAGTGCATGCTGCTACGGCGCGGACTTCATTTACCTTCTTCTATCGCTGCCCCCCTGGTAAGTTTGCGATTGTTCCTGATTATAAGTCGGCGGTTTAAGGATTTTTCTCCAGGCAGGATTTACGATTGGGTTTGATTTTATAACCAGAGACCGCCGAACAACGTAGACTGTCAGATGATGTCTCAATCACTATGTATGCGTATTCGGTCTGAGTGTGTAGTGCCCTGTTAGCATTCCGAAGTAGATCGGCTCCCAACAGGGTGGGAAACACGAGTCCCTGAACGCATCAATTACATCAGTGGTGAAGACCTCAACCACTGCTCGGTAAGCATATTTCCTCATCACTCTTAAGTCGAAGCTCACCGCCCTCGCGCAGACCTACCCTGCGCTGTCTTGCCACGTTCGCGTCACTCCCTCAAACACCCATCACCGATTCCCATCCGACCAGTACTTGATATTGACATCCCCAACTTCAACTCCCACAGTGCTGCCAGCTCTGACACCACCAACAAAAATCCCCGCTGCTCCGAATTCTGCTTCCAAGTCCACCAAGGCTTCCTCATCTTCGTGTCACACCGTCTCCCACAAAACTTGGGTGTGTAGTGTAGTCTCCTTCACAGTATTTTGTTATTTACATATTATGAAACTTTAATTATGAACCAACGTGTCTGCTTGACTGAGGGAGCACTGAGATGAAGATGCAATATACAAATTATGACTACCAATATTCGACAGGAACATGTACATAGACAGTAGGGTAGTATGCACGATGCAGTGGAAATCATTGAAGAAAAATATGAAGGGGCCTGCCGCCGCGAGGTAGCGGTAAGAGTCAACTGGTGGAGAAAGACAACAAGGGAAAAGATGTCGATGACGAACGCAAAGGGGATCCGACGCTAAATCTTGACGCGGACGTACTGCCTGCGCTGTTCCGAAAATTTTTGACCGGCGGCGATAGCATATTTCATGGCGACGCGGCCGCAGAATTGGCGTGAAGGGTTATAGGGAGGACGCAGAAAGGTGGCGCCATTCATGAGCGCTAGGGTTGGGAAAAAAAGGCAGAGAATGCTGTTCGCAGAGACCGCGAGCTCGACGAGTAGAACGAAGACATGTAATTAGGACAATGAAGACGACAATACATAAAAAAAGATTCGTACCTTTCTCCGGCACAGTTTGCGGGGTCCAACCTTTACTAAATAACGTCAGTTGAATGCTAACATGAGTGGTACTCAAAATAAATTTTGAAACTCTTGAAAACTCGCTAAACTGCGTTCAACTCCCTTCAACTCCCCGCTTAAAGTTTGAAAGAACTCGCGCAAGTCCGAGAGAAATGTGCTCGGCACACGTTGGCATGTAGTCGGACTTTAAAACGACACTTGTGATTTTCAAAGCGTGCTATGTACATAGGGGAAAGTGGTAGAGTAGCGGTCCAACATAATTGTATTTCAAATGAAAGCATTAATAAAATTGTAAAAAAAACAAGGCCCGCGGGAATGAAATCAGCTGTAGGTAGGGAGCGCGGGAGGGACCAAATAAGTGCCGAGCGGAGGAGGGGGGGATGCTGAGCAGCGGGGGGGGGATGACAAGTGTCGGGAGTAGTGATGTTCCGGCCCGGCTTAGGCTCAAAGCCCCGGCTTAGGCTTGGCTTCGAAGGGCTTAGGCTCACAAAAATTCAGAGCCTAGGCCGTGAGCCCAAGCCAGCCCAAAGCCGGGGCTTGGGCCCAGCCAGGCCGCGGCTTGGGGGAGCCAACGGACAGAGCAGCTTTGCGAAGCCAACGGACAGATCAAGCATTAGTGGTAGTCTAATTACAATGTGTCTAAATGTCCGTCTCAACATCTGACACGTCCTCAGCATCATCACCCAAAAGTAAAATGTCCCAACCTTCTTCTTCATCCACAGCGTCACCAGTCTCTGCTCCCGCTTCCGCTTCTTCGTCATTGTCGTCCAGGTACTCCAACTCGACGAGAGACGATGGTTCGGGCTCCCGGAACAGAAGATCGTGTCGTAGCGCACATTTAACACACTGGAGTGCTTCGACGATGTCAGCCTTGAGCCGGTTGCGCCGTTTCGTGATGGTGATGCCGCCTTGTGAGAACGCCCGCTCGCTCGAGACCGACGATGACATGATTGATAGATAGTCCCGCGCAAGTGAAGCCCAAACAGGGTACCTCTGCGCATTGATCTGAAGCAAAGATTATCATTAGCGCGAAATTTCTGAGTAATAAAAAATATACATACACCCCACCATTGAATGGTGGACAAGCCAGATGGTGGAGCCGCTTCAACCGTCTCAAGGTAGGCCAAAAACTCAGCCCTCCATGGTCTTGTTGGGTCACCGATTGAGGTAGGTGCTGGGTTGGTTGACGAATCATCCTCAGAGTCACTGAGGACTTCGCGAATTAGCTTCTTGAGACTGCCAGCTCTGCCTAGCTTAGTTGCGTTCTGCCTCCGGCAAGGCTTCTATGGCAGTGCCACTAAACATGCCAAAGCCATGGCTCAGGCCGGCGGCTCAGGCTTCTCGAAATCCAAGCCCAGGCCCAAGCCTTCCTCAGGCCGTGACGTAGGCCTGGGCTGGGCCCGGCCTATTTGGGCCCGGCTTGGGCCGGCCCAGGGCCTCAAGCCGGGCCGTGCACATCACTAGTCGGGAGGAAGATCTGCATGCCTCCGCGAAGACGCAAGATCAAGTGGAGGGTGGACTCCTTCTGGATGTTGTAGTCGCTGAGGACGGGGGGATGCTGAGTAGCGGGGGGGGGATGAAAAGCGTCGGGGGGAAGATCTGCGTGCCTCCGCGAAGACGCAAGATCAAGTGGAGGGTGGACTCCTTCTGGATGTTGTAGTCGCTGAGAGTACGGCCATCTTCGAGCTGCTTTCCAGCGAAGGTGAGACGCTGCTGGTCAGTTGGGATGCCCTCCTTGTCCTGGATCTTCGCCTTCACGTTGTCGATGGTGTCCGATGACTCCATCTCCAATGTGAGGGTGCCTCCGTGGAGACAGATAAGGAGGCGGAAGGTGGAGAGGCCATTTGCCGGTAAGGGCGAGGCGCCGCTGGTCAGGTGGGATGCGTGTGGGATCCGGATTATAATAGATTTCCTATAAAATAAAAGTAAATGTTAGTTAACTACACACAAAAATGACTTACCTTGGGTGGATGGCACCCGAAAATTTGATGGTGGCCTTCTCGGCGCTGTGGATGGGCATCGAGGTTTGAGGGTGAGGTCGACAACGACAACGACAACGGCGTGCTCAGTGCAAGACGAAGCCTCGGAACTTTCCAAAATTTCAAACTCCGCTAAAAACTGCGTCACATATACACGCAGATAGGAGTTTTGATCCCACACGCACCATAGCCCCCCACCATAACTATGCCTCGTCCATCCACTCGTAAAGAGCTCTTGAATATTGTGGATCAGGCCGAACTTTCTTTGGCCAGGTTATGATACCAGGATATCCTAGAGGACTGGTCAGACTTTGAGAGTGATTCCAGCTCCGAGGACTCGCTTTCTACTACTCCTTCAGACGATGATGTTTCAATCAGTCTGTCTTTAAGCACTCCTTCCCCCATGTCCCCCGCCTCCCCTATCACAGCGACTTCAGCGACTTCAGATTCTTCTGATACCAGTTCTGTATCATCCGATGACGTCGCTTTGCCTTACGACAGGCTCCAAGACACCATCGATGCTCTTCGTGATGAGGTTATGAGGGCTCGTGTACTCCACAAGCCTGACGAGCCTCCTCCACGAGCATCTCAACTTCACATGCTGGTTCACCACGAGGAACACCGCCCTCACTTGCATCAGGAAACTGGCGGGAAAAAGGTTTTTGTAGATACAAATAGCAACATCAGATCACATGTCTACTGGATTATATCCAAAGGCAAAGCAATATATAATCATGACACGATGGCATCAAAGGACAAGAAGTTGCAAGAACAAGCCAAACTTGATGAAGGATTATATGTCCCAACAACTATGATATACAATAGATAAAATATTGAAAAGGTTCTGCATCTCTCCAAACCTGTGGTCATCCATCGCCTGAGCTGAACTTCATGATTGCTACTTGCAATGCCAGTCAGCTGGCAATCAAGAGTTACAAACTACATGCAATACTGGCCTGAATTCATAAGTGTGGTGTGTCCTAGGTAATCTTTTGTAAATCACCAACAGTTCTCAATATCTGTGGTACACCTGCTGCCCAAACCAGACTATGGTCATCAACAACCAGACAACAATCATATATTGCAAAATTGATGGAGCACTGACGCCAGTCAGCCATTCCTCGTGATTTTGATATGTGTAAGACAATGCCTTGGCAAACACAAGCAATCCTGGACTACAGCAGTCAGCATCTGACTCGGACTCCGCTGTGATAAGGTCCATTGGGGATGTTTTTATTGATTTAATTAGCAAAGCGCCGTGCAGGAGAAGATACTCAATATTGTACATCTAAACACGAAATCATGGCAGCCAGTACGTTAAGGTAAGGAAACTAGTACATGGTATCACAAAGGTTATGTACACATGAGCATAAAGATACGTGTCTGATAGCTTGTAAGATGTCCATGTGAAAACGACTGATGCGAATTCATTCAACCACGCGTAGCCAGGCGCCTCGTCTCCTCTAAGGGCGGCTGCCAAGTGATGACGAAGCTGCAATGGTATCAGCATTTTGAAGAGGACGTAAGTAATTTGTGCCCACCGTCGCTGTCAGAGTAGTCAGATGCAGGCGCATTTCCAATCGCCAGTTCATAAACTTCTACCTCAGCTTTGGCACGACACATCTTCACATGCAAGTGATATAACTCTAACTCGGGGTTGCGCTGATGAGAATGGTAACCTTCCATATCAAGGTAAGTTGCCACGAGTCCTGTCTGAGAGCGAAGTTCCAAATGGCATGCCTTATCAAAGGCCTCTTGAACGCCAGGTGGGACCCATGTGCTCGACAGGTGGAACGAGGAGTCGATGGACTTCAGTGATAATGTCAGACTAGCCAAGTAGAAAAATTGACAGTACTGACGTGCACGATGACTGGCATTCGTTGCTCTAGATGTGTGATACAATTTGAGTAGCCATATTTGTCCGAAAAAAGTTGTCTAACTGGCGTGAAGTTGGGGTCTTGCTCTCTTAACCAAGTTTCGCACTTGTGTTGTACAGCTGCCGAATAGGCTCCTATGGATGTTGAACAGGCCTCTGTAGATACTGAACGGGCTACAGTAGGTTCAGCGATACATATTGAGGTTGTTAAGCCAGGGCTGTCGTTATGTACGAGTGAGCGAGTTGTAATAGCACGCATTGCTAAGTAGTGAGGTGTCAGACCATTGGTTTGCGTAGTTGGGAGAATCTCACGCATTATCCATCGTTGCTGTACGTGATCGATAGCCTGGCTGCACAAAGACATCTCCAGCTGACATCGATCCCTCTTCTGTTCCATGAAAGCTCGCTCTACGGCTACGCGCCCTTTGTTATCCTTAACCGTTCGCAACGATTCTTCTGTCTGTGCTTCCAATATACGCCCTCCGATTATCTGCCAGATATCGCCGTGATAGACTCGGCCTTTGAGCAAGAAGTACAGAATATACAATTCAGTCCGAAGCTACGTAAAAACATTTAGGTGAACTGATACTTTAGAAATTGTAGACTTGCCGTCTTCGTTGGTATGAGTCTGATGTAGAAATCCAACCATTTGGGACCTGCCAATATGTCCGAAAGCTCGCACATGCCATTATGAATGGCTGAGGAGTTGAATGGTGGAAGATAGGATGGAGCTGGTATCATGACTGTTGTGGTAAGGAAATATGTACACGCGCGACACATGCTATCATGGAGCTCGTTTGTTAACCAATATTTTGAATCGGAATCTGATTTGGGCGGCGATTGAATGGTATGACAGCTGGCCATCAAATCAACGTTACTGGCTATCAAACAATTCGAATTCTGGCTGGCCATCAGTGCTAGTGATGGATCAACTTTTAGGAGAGTCATGAGCACTGAAATAGCTAGAGACTCGAGATGAAACAAACCTTCCACTATGAATGTGCCTGTGTGAGACTCTTAGACGTCAATCTGTATCTGGGTACTGCCCTGGCGGGGCAGTGAGGTTAGACTTCCGCATAGAAAATTCAGACGTAAAGAGGGCATACGTGGTGACGAGCTCGGCATGCCGTTACATTTTACAAAAATCTTTGCATAGGGTGCGGTGGCAGGCAGCCAGGCGATGGTGGCGGGGATGAGAGCCATGTTCGTTTACCTGAAAAAGAATATTATACTGGTCAGATGCTGGCGACTTCAAACTTCTCAAAAGTCAACAGTGCTTAGCGTACACCCAGATTATCTCACTGCAGTCCAATCTTTGAGTCACTTTCCCAACAATGTCACGATGATGGACACGACAAATCGAATACGGACCTAGGTTTCATATCCACATCGTTGATATAACATTTGAATGTCATTGGGGACTGTCACATCGGCGTGGAGACTGGTGATAAAGGACAAGAAGTTGATACATATGGCCCGGACACCCGAACTCAATGTGATGATCAGCCTTAGAATTATGTAAGTAAGCGTGCTCGGTTCACCTTACCAGTTACTAAACACCCTCACCAACTTGAAGTTTTCCATTGGTTTTGTGTCGACGTATTCATTAAGCACATTCTCATAGTATCGATGCGAGTGGGGTTGATGTCGGGAGCGCAAATTTGCACCATTATGTAAGTGTAAAGTTTGATCGATAAGGATCAGTAAGACTCTAGTACGACAGCCTATCGCAGACGTAGCTTCAGCAATGGCGGATTATTCCTAGGTCGTTGCTTTTGGACCCCTCTTGAACAGGTCTGGATATGGTGCTTCATAATCGACCTCGCTCCTACTCGCGAGCAAAGCTTGCAGCGTCTAAATAAAACCTGGAACTCTTTCGCTGTAATTCCATCACCAATGGACGACTCAAGCTTTTTGAACAATTCCGTTTGTTCCTGGTATGTCCACTCGAATCGAATAGAGCATGGTTTTTCATGTTCTCCTGCTGATTTATCAATAAAATTATTGCACCACAGGAATGTAGTTGATACCTCGACGACGGTACTGGAAGGTGGCTAAAGACGATAGCCGGTAGTATGCGTCTATTCTCACTGGTAGGTCATGGTTAGTTTGGGATATCCTCGAGAATGAAGGAAGCTGACCTTGATATCCACACTCATCAGATGCGCATCTTACCCTCCAATAAGTCTCTCGAGTAGTCTTATCTTTCCAAGGATACACTGCCGCCTCGGTGTAGGCCTCTTTTCCACACCCGTCGGCACATAAGCAGCACGGGTATCAAAAATTGCGTTCTTCGCGGTACTTCTCAAAGTGTGATGGAATAATCTTCTTTCCCTCGTCATCGTCAGGCCTCCATATTCGAGTCAACGCTCAGAAGTTATACAAGGTTCGAATAATCTTACCAGTACCATTCTATCATTGATTTTGACGCACTATCGTAATGCAGGAGGGCAAAGCGGCAAGTCATGGCTTCTACCATGAGTTTGGCGAGCCTCACGGCGGTTTTCGTGACAGTCAGGTGGGGCAGTGATCATGGAAGAAGGTGAGGATGGGGTTTCCATTGTGCAGATGGATACAACAAGGCCTCATCGCTCTTTATAGATCCTGTAATTAACCATGTCATGGCTGGTCCGACTTTTTTTTCTCCCGTCAAGTGTGCCAGCCCCTCCTGCACTGCCAGGATCTTGGCCTGTGGGAATATGCAACTCGGGTAACAGCGCTGGCCATCTTAACGTTCAGGTTTGTCACGTTATATTATACTGTTGAAATTTTTTGCTGTTGTGCTCAATTGTTTATCCGTTCGCTCTTCATGGATATAGCTTCGTCGCAAAGGCTTTTCAAATGCACTTGCACACGTGAGTTTACTCAGGAGAGTGCATTCACAAAGCATCAACGTTCCTGTCTGAAAGGCAAGAAACGATTGATCAGTGCTTTGTCTAAAGCAAAAGATCTCCTAGGCTCTGTAAAACGGGCCCGACTGGATACCAATGGGAACAGACAGCATGTGTGTATCAGCATGCCCTCTTCGATTACACATCCCCGCTGTCCACAAGCCCCGTCGTCGTCTTCCAACCATGTCAACGAGACATACAGTGTGGGGTCTTCAAGTCTTCACCCGTCTTTGCCTTTGGCCGCAGTGCACCCCCCAGGGGAGGTGCCTTCTGC